CTGCTCTAGTTCCTTTTAAAAGGGGAGACTCTTATTTCCACACCTCCATAAACCAGGCACTGGCCCAATGTTCGCCGTCCAAGGCACTTTCTGTACACAGAAATGTCAGAACGAGTGCAAACGCTGGGTTCTCACTCCAGGACTTCACGCTCTCAGCACGGTGTGGGGTAACAGCAGTACCTGAGGGGTACGGTGCAAGGCGAGGCACCTCCGAGGTACTATTTGGAGCAAATGCCTGCTCTTGGACACCTTGCTGAACAATACTGATAGCAAATTGATACCACTGAAATGCTGGCTTAGCTACACTAGACTACAGAGGGAATGGCTTGTGCTGTACCATCTTACACCCTGTACATCTGTGTGCCTGATCTGAGACTAGTAGCTGATTTTGGGTCCTTCTTCCTTTGCACTCCTCAAGTCTCACGGTAGCACTGAGGAACAGAATCATGCCACGTGTCTTTATTTATCCATGCATATTTTTATCCATGCATTATTTTCAAAACCTCTGGGTTTTAGAGATAACTATGCTTTCAGGCAGCTCAGGGCCATCTCATATGCTGAGAGGCTGAACTTGCAGTTACAAGAGGGCATAAAATCAAGGGCTGCTCATCGAGTCCAGACCCTTCAGAGCACCTCTGAGACGGAGTTTCATGACACTGAGTCAGCCCTGGGTGTCCAGCACACAAGGAAGTGATCACTCCCTCCTCCCTCCAACATCTCCTATGTAACTGGATCCCAATGGTCTGACTTGGGAAACTACAGCTTACGAAATCTTTTGATTCCTACGGGTTCTGTTTGGAAGGCTCGGTTACGAAAATATGAATGTCCACGTCATAGCGTCTAGCAATGGGCTGGGCTGGCAGCCTTTTCCTTTGCTTTTCAAGGCAGGGAGGAAACCTTTCCACGCAGAATAAAGGATTTCGAAATAAAGCTTGCCAGAGGACAGGGAGAACACCACGGAGCCTGCCTGCAACAGGTTGCCAAAGAAATCAAGAGCGAGGGAAGTCCAAGAATACCTAGTGACCATCTCGTGGCCCTCCAAGCAATTAATTGCTGAATCCTGCTCTGTTTTTGAATGAAAAACCACCCCTAACATTCAACGGCAATTTCAGCATCCGGCTAAGAAAAAAGCACGGTGCAAGAGCTGTTCCTTCAAGCCCTTTGATGTCCCAGAGAGCCAAAGCGGGGGAAAATTTTCTTTCTGCTGTGAAAACAAAAGGAGGACTTTCCACCCGAGAATGGCAAACACTGAAAATAGAGCTTGTGAAAATACTTAACAGTGGGTGGCATTTTGTGTCATTCACTGTCATCATCATGATCAAAGCCAAATCTAACCAAACTGTTTCCACAATAGCGACAGTAACTGACTAAATCTCTCAGGTTCCTGAAAGGCCTTTTAATACTGATAATATGGGATTTAAAACTAAATAATCAAAGAACCAGTAAAGAACATACAACCTAAGAGTTAACTATTGTTAACTCCATAGCTGCAGTCATTTGTGGAACAGTGGAGGATAAGGAGGTAATTGTGCTTCCGTGCATGCCCTGAGCACAGCTCCTTCTACTACAGGAACCTGTGGAAAAGCTACTTTTGCCTTGGTAGGACAGAATAAAACCCCAACCCACACCCAGTATACTGCTCCTGGACAACAAAGAACTTGAACTCCACAGACAGGAACAGAATGAAAGCATCTGCATAAGTATTTTGTGTACAGAGACAGACTTCATATCCTTAGATGATTTCCTAAAGCCGGGCCTCAATGACAATTGAGGACTGGAACAGGATTCAGACCAAGCCTTTCCCGATACTGAATCTAAGGTTTCAAGCAGTAGTGAAAAACACTGGAACTTGTGTTCTCAGATCAATCAGTGTTTCCCCCTCATGCCAATTTCCTAGTGTGCTCAAGTGACGTTTATCATCATCATCTTTCCACTCTCCATCTTACATGCTTTCCCCTGAAAGATTAAACAGGGAGAAAACAGTCTGTCTGCTTTAAATACCTCACAGTGAAACAAAGAATACCACATACTCCATAAATAATTTAGATGAACAATTGCTTTGTCAGAACACAGCTGTCATCACTTACTGCAGTTCGCAGCAAAGGCGGTCAGCATTAACTGGAGAAAGCAGAGGCCACAGACCAGAGCGACCTGCGTGCTGCAGCCCAGGGCTATTTGTGTAGAAAGTGGTTGCCGTTGTCAGAGCAGATTCTTTCTTTCTCCCTGTCACCTCAGCGATGAACAGGTTTAGTGAGCAAAGTGGCAACCTCCACCCACCCCTTAGGAGCGTGGGAGCTCACAGAGGTTTCTCTCTTCCTTTCTTTCTCCTCTGTGCAATGACCTACTTTCAGCTCTCCTGTTTTTTATCCCTCTCTGCCCTCCTGTCCCTTTCCTCTCTTCTCCTGGACTCCACTGATTTCGTATCTCCTGCAGCAGATAGCTAGGGATACACGAGCATTTTCATAGGGGTATTTCTACTGTCAGGAGTCCACGGGTTGTGAAACACTGCATCAATGGACAAAGTGCCTCTAATTTCCTCTTCTGAGAGAGGAAAAGAAGAAAAAGGAGAGAGTCTGGCTAAAATAAGCTTTTAACAGCACAGACCAAAGGATGACTTAGAAATAACTGTCTTTAAAAATAACATTGTCCATCCCTCTACTTTCACCGCTTCCCATCTCACCCACTGCCTACCGTACTTCATCCTCCCCACGACCTAAATCCTCTTTAGCTGTGGTCGAGTTATCCAAATAAAGCTATTTTGCAATCAGAACAGAGCGTAACCAGGTTTGAGGGTGTATGAGCGCTGCAGGCACTTCTTGACATAAAACTAAGTAATTTGCAAAAATGTTTAGAGCTGTTTCACACATACTCTTTGCATCACAGGGTAATACCACTCTACTGCAAAGCTCCTGAAACATTTGTTTGCTATTTTTGCTTACCAAAAGCAATATCTTTCCATTCTATGTTCTAGGACCTACTAACCTCTACAGAACAGCAATAAGGAGGATTCTTGGCCACAAACCTTAAGTAAAAATCTGGCACCGTTTTAGCTATCTCTTAACCTTCAAATCATGACCATTATTGGGGGGAGGGGGCTTAAAAATCCCAGGCCTTTATCCTTTCTACCCTTCCAAAAAGAAAAAAACAAACAAAAATTAGTAAGGTCAGACTATGGCAATGCTGGAGCAACGGTACACAGAGCTGAGAACAGTGATCTGGAATCACACTCTACCACACACGTTTTAAATTGGTGCTTGTTTCCGTCACCTGCAAACTCCAGAGGACTGACCCTGAGCACCATTCAGAATTATACCACAATTCTGCTGAGTTCAGGTGCAACAATTCACACACACGGAAATAAGGCTAACAGGCTTTGTGGATCACAGTCTTTACTGTTTGTGGCCCGCATCTTTATGTTTAATTAATTATGGGGTCCTATCTTTATTTTTAATTACTTTGCACAGCTTTCTCCTTCACGGTCAACTATTTTGAGCCACAACCTGCTTAGCTCAATTTTCTCCAGCGTTGAGACAGGGTCTCTTAAGTCTATCACAGTTACAGCCACATCTTGTGCATACTCTGGACAGTGCTCTTCTCTCCCCTTTCCCATGAGAATTTGAGGAACAACGGCAGCATAGGCTTCGGGGAACAGATTTCAGCAGAAAATTGACATTTACACTAAGACTATGCCCTGATACAAAACACTTTTCCCACACATTAGAAGCATTACAGTGCGTGACTGAGGAAATACATGAGCTGAAACTGCAAAAGCAACCTCGACTGGACACAGAAAAAAGCTTCAGAACCGCGAGAAAAAAAAAAAAAAGAGTCATTCGTATTCACTGTTTTCCATGCTCCTCTTGGTCAGCCTTGCACCAATCACAGATCTCTTACAACTGGATACATTTGCAGGAAAAGTGCAACTGCAGAAGGGCATTTTTCTGAGTAACGTTTTCCCTTGATATTCAACGCTCCTGAAAGACTGGTAAAGCTAGCTCTTCACCTTCTGCTGCTTCTTTGTGCCATGTTACCGTTCCAAAGCTTCACAGAAAATCTGCTCAGCTTGTTACGAGGCACATGGCATTGCTTGTGTTTTGTAATGGGCTGAAGGCAGGTGACAAAATCTTTTGGACTACGTATTACCACGTGGCTGTCTGAAATTGCAGGGGCTGCGCTCAATCCAGATAGTCCTTTTCATTTCTGGTCTTTCAGCTTGTAACCTCTACGTCCCCATTGTATGTTCTGTTCCAAGCAATAAGATAAACCGTCTCACATCCAAATGAACTAATAGTTTCCTACTAAGTATCTGGATGGAACTGCTCTTCATAAAAAACCGCAGTGCTTGCTCCCTGAAAAAACTACAGGGCTTACTCCTCCAGTGCACCAACTGGCACCGTCAGGTTACCTTCTCTTTCCGTGCATGATTTCATGCACATCAGACCTAGTTCTACTTCAATAATTACACACATGCTTTTTTTCCAGGCAATTAAACACTATTAGTGCCCGCTTAGCTGCTTTTAATAATGGTTACATGTAAATTCAGCGTCACAACAGCCTTTTTTGCTAGTATTAGTTACTTTCATCTTAAGCTTTGGCAAAATACTTCAAGGGGAATAAAAAAAAAAGAGAGAAAGAGTGCATTTAACAGAGGTAAAGAATATTTATTGCTAATCTGAGCTCCAGGAGGTGAGAGGAAGCTATGAAAAGAAATAGTCAGAGGAAACAGGTTTCTGAGCGAACAGAGATAACACAGGCTGATCAAAGGCAAAGAGCTGGAAAAGAGAGATTGTGGAGAGGCTGCAGGAATATCTTACGTAAGCTGCAGAAGGGGAAGCAGGTACTATTTCACTGAGAAAAGTGACCACAGACTTTTGTTCAGAACCAAAGATGTTCCAGGACGTTTCACACATCACAGCAGCCTGTACAGGTTTTTCATTAAAGTGCACCACAGGGCATAATTGTGTGTTTCTCACTTTACCATGAATTGCAATGCATCAACACAGAAGACAGGATTCTTTTATTGCAGCCGCTCCACAACCTAAGTTTCAGTATTCGCAAATAAATCGGCAAATCAAGAATACCACTTAGCACCAGGGAAGCACTCACAGAACAAAGTAAGACTTCCAGGAACAATCAAACCACAATTTCAGTTTTGTCTGAATTGTCCAGATGGATCTTACAAAAGATCTAAATCTTTCTGCTTCTCTGATCTTGCCTCCAACAAAGCAAACATTTTTAAAAGTTCCCAGATAAGGCAAGAGTGAACTGAATCCTGAGCTGTTTAAACTTCCCACTCCGTTCTAGTTGAGGCTCCCTTCCTTACTCGCCTAGCAGAGGAGAATGCTTAAGGCATCAAGACTGAAAACTCCCTCACCCACATCACTCAGACCACATGCTGCTTCTGTGAAAGCACTGTTATACAGAGCCCACAAAATAAGCTACAGACTTCAACATGTGCAAGGAAAAATTAGCAAACACATTAAAGTAATATAGCTGTAAGATGCTGGAGAGAAGAATTCCATAGGTAGTTCTAAAGACATGGAGACACATCTCTGCAGGAACAAGAGAAAAGCCGTACTTAATTAACTTTAATGCACAGAAGCCAAAAAAAGGTACCAAGTTTTTCTCATGATTACAGTTGCTTTCTTTTGGAACACATTACCAAATGTGAACATTCACCTTTAAAATATGTTAACACTTTGTTTTAAAAACTTAAAACAGATTAGCAATAACCGTTGACAGTTAAAAGAAAGGATCTGCCCCTTTGGCAGAAGGCATCAAAACCAGCTATTCAGAGCACTTTTCTTCTGGCTGCAAATCTGCTGTAAAGAGGCCACATGTTAAATTCAATGACAAAAGTGTATTAACCAGGGGAGGAGCAGGAGAATCAGGTAAAAGTGATGGCAAATCCATGAACAGAAATATAGTACAAGATTTACTCTGAAATAGAGTCAAAAGTGGCAAAGAAGAGCTCAGGAGCACAAAGGAACCTTCTAAGCTAACAGTTAGCATGTGGTCTCTGGGTACCGAGAAAGAAAGTTAGGCCAAGATTTCCAAACTCCTAAAGAGGATTATAGTCCATAGGAATTTTTTGCACACATTTCAATGGATTAGGCTTTTGCTTTGCTATACTGAACCCATGCCTAAATAATCAACTGCCTGGCATAACAGGGACACACTAGAAATCTTTGTCAGGCATTTTTTTTATGCCCTGTACTTTTGAGAATTTATGCCTTATTAACCCATTCAAATACTGCAGAATTATCAATGACAGTCTGATTATGTGCCTAAGCAATCACAGGAAAACCAGGAGCTTGGATCATTCAGGGACATGACGAGCAGCAGCATGGACTCCAGAAATAGATTCAGAAAGCCTCAACCCCTGATAAAGACACCTGAACAATTTAGTTTGGAAAATAAAGTTGTGAGAATAACCATATCCTACACGATTCAAATAATAAGTTGTATGATATTGGTTAAAAGTGGACAGAAATATCCATATAGTGATCGCACAAAACGTATTTGCAGAGCTAAAGGTAATGTCTGCAAGCCAGCTAGTTTAAATAGACAGCACTTCCTGTTTCTAGGCCTTGTCTATGTAGCAAAGGTACATAAAATAACCTAAAATGGGAACTGAAATCAGATGAAACTAATTAGAAAATCAACTGCATATATAATCCTATTTCTGGATGAAAGTGACCTGCTGTGTAGCTTAACTCTACTGGGAGCAGGCTTAAGTTACATCAAAAGAACGTCTGCAAAGGAATTGGCATTGTTTAAACAATTTTAGTTAAACCCAATATGAGTTAAATCAGTGCAGATTTTCCACAGAGGCAGCTTAAAGGCAATTTAATGCAAAAACAAAAGGGGGAACTTAATACAAAATACACAACCTCCTGAAACAGCTTCTTTCTGTGAGATGATTTTTACTTTGAGGATGCACAACAACTCCCACCTACCACTGCATTCAATGGAAATTCAAGGGAGGTCAGCATTCCTCGGAGCAGACCACAAACGTGGAATTAACACTGTTGTATTTACTACAAACACCACCTCTCTCTTGCTGGAAAGGAGCTGTTGAGATGACAAAAAGATTACAGTATGGCACATCATACTCTAAATTGAGTAAAGTAATCAACTTAGAGCCGAACGTTATAGACTGACCAGGTCTGCTATCAAATTAATGGACACTGTCCACAGCCTTGACCGCAGACAAGCTACAGAACTTTTTGGTTGTCTGGCTCAGCACTACAACTGTCAAACAACTTTTGTGCAACTGCAACATGAATAAGCCTTTACGAAATAATAAAAAGCTTCTAAAGATGAAAACTATGCTAAATGTTTGACTGATACGATTATCAAAACCATCCCATTTCATACCAATTCACTGCATCATAGTAGTGTTTTATTCAGTAGTGGGTTTCCAGCCACATCAGAAGTGGCTACAGCCTTATGTGCAATTAAAATTAAAGTAGCTTACTGATACTGCTGGATAAGTAAGAATAAATATTGCTTTAAGCACACTGCTTTGCAGCTCTTCGGATAAACATTGTTTCATTCATTACCAAGCAGAATATTCAGGAAATAATTGGCCAAGCTAACATTTTCGTAACACCAGAATGTCATTGTTCTTCATGAAGAAACACACCAGAAAGTACTCTTGGTCACAAAGTGTGCAATTCACAAGACTAAAAGGACATTAGACCTCAATTCTCTTAACAGACTTTACTAGAACTGGGAAGAGTTTGGGGGTTTCGTACCAAGGCTAAAAGGGCAGAATATTACTTCAAACCCTTAAAGGAAAAATTCAGACTCGTTTTTCCAAGAATTTCCTTTTCAAAGGTAGGCATGAATTTAAAGTTAAAACCTCCTTAAGACACCGGATCTCAGATCCACTCTCTTCACCGCAGAACATACAGAACTAAGAAGAATTTATGGCAAGTTAGTGTACTTAACACTTGGCAACACGAGATGTTCTAGGGTCAAAACTGCTTTACCAAGTGAATGTTGATAGCTAATTCTCTTTTGCAACAGTTAGCAGCACTGTCATGAGTGTTTTCCCTAAGGCGATACAAGCACGAACACTGAAGAACAACAGCAACAAAAAGAGAGGTTTGGATCATCCATGGTATTTTGGAAAAAATAAATCAAAGTGGAAGAGGGAGAAGTAATTTGAGGCCAGCTAAATTCTTAAGAGTGAAGGCCTCTGTCAGTCATGGGTTTGTTCCTCCATTTTGTGAGCAGAGGAACAGACCAACTTCTGACTCTCTGCTGAGAACGCCAGCAACACAGATAGTAACTCCCAACTATAAGTAGTCCTTTTGCAATACCCAGTCTTCTTCCTCACCAGGAAACAGCTCCTTACTGTCTGTCAGCCAGTAAAGACCAGCTAGTAGATGTGATTTTCTCGTCTCTTCCCCAGCTCATCACCTTGTTCCTTACAGTGTAAACATTGTAACCGTTCCTATATTCAACTACGCCAGTATTTAAAACAAAATCCAAAAACTTTAAAATCTATTTTATCTGCTATAACTGTATTTCTTTGAACTCGAAGTAATACGTGGGAGAGGCAGTCCAGGAGAAAAGGGTTTCAAGTACCAGAACCTGTATGTCCCATACCAAGCTGTCAGACCTATTAGCACACCAAGGAGCTTTTGGCTGAAGTCATGAAAATACACAGCAGTACATAAAAACATGAACACCCAGATCACGGTCAGAAAACACAAGGCAACAAAGAGGCCGTTGATCACAACACGCAGCCTAGAGTTCTGGTCTACAGACAAGCCTTCCAGCACAGACATTTCCTCCACAATCATCAGAGCACAGTATGAGAGGAGAAAACAGTGCCCTGAGATATCAAAACCATTCCAGATCCCCTTTTCCTGGTGGCAGTCCTGCTTGTTGGCATACAGCCGGCGAGGCTCACTGAGTTCACTCGAGGTAGAGCACATGCCAGTGAGATTCTCAACATATATGAAGAGTCCAGTGCACAAATACCAGACGGCAGTGCCCACCAGCAGTGCGCTGAGACGCCGCAGCACTATCAGAACGCTCTTGGTGGGACCATAGAGGAACTTGCTCCTGGCAACCTGGTAGGTGGTGACTCCGATGAAGGGCAGCAGAAGCAAGAATGTCCAGGCCCAAGCCACCTTGACAAAGTACCTGCCAGAGAAAAGCCAAAAGGAAAACATAGTATGCAAGAAATTTCATATGGGCCGGGATGGAGCCAAGTAAGGGGGCTTGCAGAAGTAGCTTTCTAAGGTAACTGTTCAGAGCTGCCTAATTTAGGCACGTGTCCCCTCCCCTCAAAGCACAGCACAGTTAAAATGTTAATGCTCTCCCCATTACTTCCTTTCCCGAGCGTTGCCCAATACATCCTTTCCGAGATATTGTGGGTTACCTGCTCCACTTATCTTCCCAGCCCAACACCTGAATACTTCCTCAGCCAAGTACTCCAACTGTTTCTCAGGCAGCTTTCCCTCAGACTTAGAGCCCTCCTTCAGACTCCGAACTGACTTGCAGTTCAGTTACTTCAACTGCCTGTACCCTCCAAACCCACTCAGCTCTGCCCTATCCAGAACACAGTTGCAAAGAAGGTTTTCTTAGCTTGCCACCCTAACCACAGTAACCTTTTCTCTGACTCTCCGTCTTCCTCCCCTCCTCCTCCATCTCCAGTTATCTTTGCTTTCTAAGCCTTTCACAACCTTTTACCCTCTTAGTACTGAATGAAATGCCCAGGAGAAAAGCCAACTATTCCCTCTGATCAGCCTGTGACACTTTTCCTCCATTATCACATTACAAAATAAAAAGAACAGCATACGTACGCATGTTTCTGTCCCTCCAGCTGAAGAAAGCTTTCCCTGAGCATACACAAATCCTTCCATCTACAAACACACCAGTGTCCACCTTGGAAACTTTTGCTGTGATGCCTATAAAATCTTGATAACAAACTGATATCCTGCTCAGGATGTGACAGTATTGTTCAATTCATTCCCTTTCCGAGTTTTAAAATGGAGCAGGTACAAGTGAATTTACTAATGAGTAAGAAGACTGTAGTCTCCAATCTTCTTTCTCCCACCTGCACCTCTTTCTCCCAATCTGCACCTTCCAGTGCAGCCTTTCTTCCTGTCTACTGGTGGGAAGACGAAGCGCACAGCCCCACGTTTACCCACATCCTGGCTTGAACAACGAAGAATTTTGGTCTGTGACTGAGCTACAGCTAGACACAATAATTATTTGTTATTTTATTACAGTGCACCCAGCATGCTCACTATCTAAGACAAAAACAAGCAGGACAGGAAATTCTATATTTTCATGAAGACCCTAAAAAAAACGGTTATGACTTTACCCAGGATTTTGAGGACTACCTTCTTTACCCTTTATTCCACAGTAGAAAGACATCTGTGTGGCAACTACAGCTGCTGCCATGGAATAATAACCGAAAATAAACTCCTCATTTTATTAAGATAGTTAAAAGCAAGAAAGGCTGCTAACATGACTGCTCTCAGCAACCAGCAGGCAAGTAATTTGTGGGGGGGGAGGGGGAAGCTCCAGGAACCCTCAGTACAGGTGAACCTCCTCTACTTAAAATGAGGTGATAAAAGTGAACTCTGGTATGCTTTTACTGTCAGATCAATTTTACTTTCCAAGTCTTCTTTCCAGTTGTTCTTTTCAACCACATTAACAGCAATTTCTCTGCCTCAAGTCACCAAGTGACAAATTCCCCCCACTCACATGGGAAAATAGAAATTTGAGCTTTACCTTCTGATCTACAACAGGTAAAGCATATGTGCACTGTCCCAGCTTCCTCATTCCCCTGTGAAAAGTTCAAACAACAGTTTTAAAAGACAAGAGAGTCAGTCAAATCAGTGCCTAACCACTACGAAAGAACTGCAGTAATCCTGCTTCTACAAAAAACGCCAAGAGACTGACTTTCTTTAGCTTGGTTTTGGATCAATTCAGTAACTATCAGTTTATTCAGAACTAACTGGGAGCTACAGAACGGTTAAGAAGTTCCTTGCTCTCCTCTTCCAAACTACCAATAAAAAATGAGCAAAAAAGGATGGTGGTTCTGAAATCTTCAAGTCCTGTAGATTATACTAGATGTAAGACCAAAAAAAAAAAAAACCTAATAGTCAGAAACTGTCATTGCCACGCACAAGTACAGGCCTAGCACACAGATATTACTTCTTAATCTATCACTAGCATAAACTTAAGAACTTACTTTGTCTTCTGCAATCATGCGGCACCCGAGATCTCTTTAGGTGACTCAGAGCTATTTCAAAGCCACCTTCAGTTAAGCTCTGTGCTCTCAGAGCGCAGGAGCAGCCATGTGCCCCCAGCGCCCTCCTCCCTCCTGGCCAGTGCGGCCATGGCAAATGGCCTGGCTGGGCCACTGGCCCCCCAGCGCAGCCCTGTCTTTCTCAGGGGAGGGCAAAGAGGGTCATAAATTTCTGGCGCTACCCCCTGTCCCTCACCAGTTCCCTGGGGGAACCCCCCCCAAGCAGCCAGGGAACCGCCCAAGCTCTGTGAGACCCCATAGGAACCTCCCAGCCTTGAAGGACCCCGCTCTTTCTCCATAGTCTCCCCCAGTCCTACAGAATCCCCTCTCCCATCCCATGGGATACTCCCAGCCCTATAGGACACCCAATCCAACCCCATAGGACCCTCCCAGCCCTATAGGATCCCCACTCCAAACTCACAGGCCACCCTTAGCCCTATATGACTGCCACTCCCACCCCTTAGGGCCCTCTCCAGCCCTAAGAGGCTCCCACCTCATGGGACTCCCCCTGCCCTTTGAGACCCCCACTCCCACCCCCCAAGCCCTGCTGGACCCCCATGTGACCCCCTGCCCTATATAACTCCCTTCTCATAGCACTCCCACTCCTGCTCCCTCCCCAGCCCTACTGGACCCCACTCCC